GCGTCCGGGTCCGTATCGGCCCCCACACGGACGAGCTGGACCGCCATCAGGAGCACCGCAGCCTGCAGAAAACCGCTGGACGCCATGGAAAAGATGCAGTCCCTCTGAGGAAGGACGGAACAAAAAAATAACACACAAAACCGGACATTTGTCATTAAACGAGCATCATAATCTGGGGTAAAAAAATCCCATAAACGGGCTGTGATGGGCTTTGTTTGTTAAATGCATTTTTTTCTCTACGGTAAAAATGATGTTTGTAAATGCAGTCAATGTAAAAGGGGTGAAACACGGTTAATTATCGACCTACCGTCAGATATTTAGCAGAACCGGATCAGAAACGCCAACCGAGAGGTGGTTTATGTGGATCAGCACACTGCGCATGCGCACCCGGGACTCCGCTGGGGAGAATGAAGACTTCCGTTTGGGAAAAACCGAGCTTTTCCAACTGCTTTTGGAGATATTAGATCAGAAAAGGGACGTTTTTTATTTAGAAAATAACCAACCTGTGTATTTTAAGAGCTATACTTGTATTATTCCTCAGCAGCACGACAAATACAGTATTTTTTCTTTTGTTATAGTATAGATAGATAGTAGTTAAAAGGCTTCAATGTGAAATATGATGCCATATTTACATCATCCATGGTCTTAAATGATAAACAATAAAGTTTTCACCGTGTTATTTTCATTTATTGTCAAATATTTAATGATGTGGTGGTTGGTTTCATTCATTCAATGCTTTCAGTTAAAATACAAATGAAAATAAGAAATATTTGAGATAGATAGATAGATAGATAGATAGATAGATAGATAGATAGATAGAACATTGAGAAGTTATTACACCCTTAAGAATTTGTGAGTAAAATAAACACATGTATTTACAGAGAAAATTATTTTCATGCTTCCAGAAAAAAAAGTTTATAAGTGAAATATAGATGGTTCAACAATATTTGGCAGTAAAAAGAGCTTTCTTTTTCGCGTATTCAATTAAGCTTTAATCTGTTGACAGTCGTCTTTAGAAGAATATCAGGGAGGGTTTTCTTTGAACAGACTTCCATTTATAACCAGAAAATCTCAAGTAAAAATATTGTTAATCATCCAGTGTAACTCCAAATAAAAATCCATTGTCATCAAACCGGGAGTAGAGACTTTTTGAACCTGAAGTGCAGTTTTACACATCGAACCAGCAGATTATCTTTAGTTCATTCATTTAATTACTCAGTTTTTAAGATCTAAACTGGATCTGAGTGGCTCTCCTGAAGGGTGGAGCTCATTGTATGCTTTGAAATGGGAACCTTTAGCTCTTGGAAGTTTAGGGCACCCCCCAAATTATCTTTCTACACATGTTGGGGGACAGCAAATAGAAAAATCATGTGTATCCTTCATTTCCATCCAGACGTTTGGAGCTTTTTATACCTGCAGTCTATAGGCTAAGTGCTTTGGTATTACCTCCTTAAAACATGATGAAGACTTTTAAACTCTGTTTTGGGGATTAATAAATTGGTATTTATTCTTTATGGCTGTATAAGGGGATCAACTCATGAGCAAATAGAAGAGAAGACTGTGAATGTTTGTGACTTGTGTTTAGGAAATATGATCAAACAAATTAGCGTCTTTTAAAAAAAATATGTTATTGGTAGAAATGGACTTCTGCCACTTTCCCGGATACATAAAAAAATAGATATTTTCCCTTATTCCACGGCTGACTATTGACAAAATGCCCCCCCACTCCGGTGTGGGCGGGGTCCTGACTGCTGTTTTCTTAGGTAGCCTGTTAAAATGCCCGAACTCAAAACACTTCTTTTTCCAAGATGGCGTCGATGAAGGACAGCGACACCGGCCTGTGGCTGCACAACAAACTGGGATCCACGGACGAGCTGTGGACGCCGCCGAGCATCGCCTCGCTCCTCACCGTGTCCGTGATCGACAACATACGGCTGTGCTTTTCCAGCCTTTCGCCCCCGGTGAAGCTCAAGCTGCTCCTGGGGATGCTGCACCTCCCCAGGCGGACCGTTGACGAGGTGGGTCGCTTCGCTTCGCTAACCGTTAGCTAACCGTTAGCAGCCCAACCGGCGCCAACGGTCGCTTTCCCTATCCGTCGCGAGGAGCCTCTCGCGCCGTTCTCAGACCCAACGGAAACCCCGTAAAAAAAAATAAAAAAACCCCCAACCCCGGACCGACTCCGTCTGCCGTTAGCGGCCGGTTAGCTCGTAAGGAGTTTAAAACCAACCGCTAGTTCCTCCGGTTTCCACCGCGGCTTCTTTTCGAGGCGGTGACTTGTTTGCGGAGTTCCCGGCTCCTTTAAGACCGCTTTGTCGCGCGGTTTAACGTTAGTTTTCTCGGCCGTTGAGCTCACCCGGCCATGGGCGTAACATTAGCCTGGCGCCAGTCGCGGACATTGTGGTGGGACGGACGCTGGAGGGCGGTACCAGCTCCCGGTCCGACATGTCACCTGTTCGGCGGCCCGGGACCCGTCACCAGTATCCGCTGGAGGAGTTTAACTCTGCCACCTCTGAGAGACTTTACTCCCTTTAGTCCCCAAATGCGAAAACCCCGCGTCATGTCCTCGTTATCGCGAGATCTCATGTTGTCGCTTCCGATAAGCGTCCAGTATTGACACATTGGGCTTTTGTTGTTGTTTCTTGAGCACTTAAATCTAAAGGCTTACTTTTAAAATGTGTAATAAACACAAGAAAAAGTAGCAATATCATGTTGTTTTCTAAGAAAAACAACATATGTGTTTTCCTTCTTGTAACTTCTTGTATCTTTATAAACTTTTATCCCTCCAAAAAGGCCTGGAAATCAATTGTTTTCATGCCAGTTACCTTCTGGTATTATTTTCCCTCCATTTTGTAATCATTTAGGTTTATGTTTTAGGTTTCATTTTGTATTTACCCATGCTAAGAGTTTTTAATGAGACTTTTGGGCTCTTATTGGGGTTAAAAGTAAAGTAGCCATAGCTTTATTCCCCAGTTTCTGCCAAAAAAAAACAACTGAAATGGCCACGTTTATCAGGATTTCAGCCCTAACCTGCCTGATCCGTCCTCTCCTCCCCCAGATGAAGGAGGCGCTGTCGGAGA